AGAGTGACTTGTTTGCTCCATTTATCTTGATTGCACCTCAGCATATGACCCGTCCAGCTCCAAGCTCCAAGGGCGGTAGGTACTTAGTGTATAATCTATCTACTTATCTGATTTAAAAATCCTGTAGAACACATCAGTTGCTTAGATTCATAACCAGATATGCAAAATTCAATAGTACCTATCTACACTTCTGGAAATTCTTCCGACCAAGTAATATATTTGAAAATAAATATTTTACAAGATGTTATACTTACCAAAATATTTTTATAAGTGTATAACTTTCGTTGTTTGGATGTTTTCCGTCAATCACGTTGTAACTACTGAACGGATTCGGATGAAATTTGGTAAACAGGCAGGGTATGGACTGACTTAGATGGTAGGTTACTTCTTATCCCGATTTAATACGGACGAAGTCGCGGGCAACAGCTAGATTTTGTGTCAGTTATCAGTTTAAATAGAGATTAAAGGGTTACATGTTAAGTAGTTGTAAAAGATGTTTTCGTCTAGTCCAGCAAAGCCCTTACTGACCATTAAAACGCATATATCACATTGGTTTAACTCTATAAAACCAGGAAACTTACGCAATCATTCCAAATAAGCCCTTCAAATCGGACAATAGTACCACACCAAATTTCACGAATAATAAATAAATTTTAAGCGAAGATTAATGAGAAGTTAGAGTTACGTGAACAGTTACATAACTTCCGAGTGAAAGTTAACGCGACTGGCTGTACAGTCGGTAGTTATGTCATGGATCATTTTACTTTCTTAAGTTGCTTAGTAGGGGAAGTTGAAAGTATTGTCAATACTACCTAAGTGTGAAGAGCCTTGTGTCATGATTGTGAGGAAAGTTCCGTTTCGTTCGGTTTTTTGTGTCAGTCGGCCATCTTGTGTCAATACGTTTTGAGTGGAGGTAATCTCGAAAACTGATGTTTGTTTTATTATGCAATTGTTTTGTATTCTGTCCAAGCCATACTGTGACGGTGCTGTTAAGATCTATGAGTTCGTATGTAGTTTGGACAGATCCTAATATTTCTCGCTACTCCAATAATTCTCATGGTCACGATGAGTCTGGCATACTCCGCTTAGATTTAAAGACTCTTATTATATGTTAATAAAGAGAAAAAAAACTGTTTTGTAGCTGGTGCCTAATGGCAATTTTTATGTTGTCTGTTGTTGTAATGTGGCCTATTTAATCTTTGTTTTGTTATCTCTTTCAATAAGCTTGCGGTTGTTGGTTACTTAGAACGTACTGAATATATATTTCGGAAAATTTTAATTACTCAACCGTAATGGATTTGCTTACAAACAATTCGGTTAGTCCTTCCAGGAAAAACGATTCGATATTAAAGACAATATAAAGTATTAAAATATACAAAAAAAATTCCTCGAAATAGACGTAGGAGGTTTTTCAAAGACAGACGAAATTCATTATCTATATAAATTCAAAACTGAATTAAGCGCTTGTCCAAATACATTTGATCCTAAACAAAGATACACATAATAACATAGAGCTCATTATCAAAAACATGGTATCTCATATAGTACAAAGGTAACTAAAATGGTCATATAAATATTGTTAATTTAATTGCCGAAGCGTAGAAACTAGTATAAAGAACGACCAAGATACAGCAAAACACAGGTGCTATGAACTACATACTATAACTAAAGAAACATCAGTGATAAACATTAAGATTATATCAAAACAGCTAAACTGTGATTCTCAAGTGATAGTGACGGAAAATGTTTTATTCTCATATAAAAACTATGAGTTATGATGACGTATAAATAGTAGAAGTGTAGTGAAAGGGCTTCCTTTCACATAACTGTTTAAAAATGTAAAAATTACAAGAAATAATTCATAATTATGATTATTACTAATAATATTATTTCTGTGTCCAATGGTTGGTTTAATAGTTTTTTTTTTGAAGGGGAAAAGTCATCGAATGACTTCTGTACTGTACGTCCGATCCTACTCCTGAACTTCGAGCTGGAGCCCCGGCAACCCGTTAAGTCTTCCACGGCTCTTAAGTATTCCGCGGTTCTACCTCTAGTTTAATAGCATACAGTTAATACCCGAGTTTTAATACTCAATGTGAGAAGAGCCCTCTGATCAGTAATGGCTACTCATAGGCTATTGATGTTGATTCGCTCACGCTGAAAACTACAGATACAAAATAGATGATAAAATTGTAAATAACCTATTCATTAAATGGTCAAGTCAATTAAAAACGTAGTTTGCAAAAGTAGGTATTACTCAACAATGATAATACAGATTCTTTCATAGAAATTCATAGAAACAGAATTCATAGAAAGAGAATTTAATAATTTAATGAATTCATCATGATATTAAAATATAAATTTCATACAAGACTAGATTCTAGTTTATGAATAGGTACTTCTTGTCTGAATAAACGTTTAATATAGAAATTTATAGCCTTAAGTGGCTGCTCTTAATTAAAAATGGTTCCCAGAAATTCTGTGTTCATTGTTATGAATCGAGGAAGCCATTAGATATTACTTATCATACTGCCTAACTCATATTTAGTGAACAGTTAAAAATATCACAGAAAACCGTAGAGAAACAATGCTTGCGTTGTGTTTTATCGTGTCAATGAGGTTACCGTAAGCCCAATTACCCCTCTCCCCAATCTCCTGAATCCCCGAATTCCCAACAATCCTCAAATTCCTAACCCCCAAAAGACTGGTAACGCATTTGTGTTTCGGGTGCCTATGAGCGGCGCCGATTGCTTACCATTAGGTGACCTGTCCTTATTCCATAAAAAAAAATATGATTATGTTTAGAAAATGTTAATTATTGGGCACACATAACTTTCAATTCGCACTTCAATCATTAAAAAACACTTAACCTTAAAAACACCTTCACGACACACAATAGAAAATTTTCTAATTTATATTTCTGCATTACTTAAAAGGGTCTATTCTTTAACACTACTTTGTATATCTTCTAGAACCTATTCACAGAAAATATTAAAAAATATTTTCAGAAACTCTATGCCTAATTACTTAGGCTTAGATTTTGTCTCCAAGTAATTTCTTTCATGAAACGAGTTTTATCATGAATCGATAAACTAAGAACTTGGTTTGACTTAAGATTTTTTTTAAACATTGTCCCACACTAGGATTTTGTCCTATGTCGTGGGTGCGTTTACAAACTTACAAGTTCACATACACATGACACTCAGACCCGGAACAACTATGTTTGGATCACACAAAGAGTTGTTCCGTGTGGGAATCGAAGCCGCGACACGTTACGCGGTAGTCAGTTGCCCAACTATCGCCCCAACCGACCCAAGTCGTTAAAGATCGAATCATTTTAGTTAAAGTACCTATATAGTTATCAAATACCAATGTCATAAAATATTGTACAAATACCATAAAGTTCAGAGATATAAATAGATTTTTATCTCTATAAAATCCGATATATTTACCAAATTCACGAATGTTTATTTTCTTTTGTTTTCAGGGAAGCAAATGCATGGAAGTAAGGTACGGCCAGTGCCTCGACGATGAAGAAACTATAGCTAAGAGAAAACTGAAATCAAATTAACAAAAGTACGAAATAACGTACATTAATTTATTCTAAATATAGGTAAAATGTTATGGTAGCTCTCTTGGAGGCTTTGTAAATGCTTAATAAAATATTTTATTATATTCATAGTTATTGTGTTTTATTACACCGTTACCGAAATCCAAATTACTTCCCTCGCTAATCTCCCCAATCAATAAAAATCCCTGAATCTACAATTTATAGGTACACACATCATCGTTCATCATCAAAAGAAGTTCAACCTTTGTCTCTTCAGATTGTATACAAGGTGTAGTTTTGAAACCGTGAAATTTCTAGGGGGCATGTCACAGAAGTCAAAAAGGTTCAATGTAAGAGAAAATTTCGGGTCAATAGTTAAAAATACGGCTATAATAAATCGTTTAAGTTCGACAGTATTTCAGAATAAGCGACATCAATATTTCTTATTGAAGTTTTATGGAATTAGGAATAATATCAATTACGTGTTTGAGTTTGTGTTACAAGACGGCGGCGTGTAGTCCGCACTTACGGATTTCCGTAATTTACAGATAAATGAAAAATATTTACATACAATTTTTTTTATTGATTCGGACTCAAAATCGATGCCTAGTTACCTCCTAGAAAATGACACCTAAAACAACACCTTGTATAAGACGACAGATTGTGCACAGTGAGCACTGAAAGACTTTAAGCAAATAATCCATTGAGGAAAGCTATTGTATATAAAGTGCCATAGTCCACAAAGGTCGGATCGAGTCTCAAAGTTGAGATAGTCCTCGAACACAACTAACTAACTGAAATCCTAAAGTTTCTATCACGTATGTATGATACTAAAATCACGAGACTTGTGGTTCAATTAATACAAGAAATTGAGATTTTGAGAAGTAGTCTTTTCAAGTTTACTTATAACTCTGACTTGACTGCACAGTTGACGCAGTAGTTGGGTGACCGGCCGCTGTGTAACGTGTCGCGGGTTCGATTCTCGCACCAGCAACACAGTGATAATGGCATTTTCTGGGCAAAATGACCAATTTTTGGCGTGGAGCAAGGAAATTCGGCGGTGTTTTAACCCCGTGTCTCGAAAATCATGTAAAGCCGTTGTTCCTGCGCCTGACCTCGCTCCGGTAGTGTCGGTCTGCCGTCCCATCGGGTTCAGAGAGTTAGGAAACAGAGAGTGCACCTGTGTTTGCGCACATATTTGTGCACTATAATATCTCCTGCGTCGTGGGCCAGTCTAGTACCTAAGACAGACGGGCCACCATGATCGAAAATGATCGGGTACATTGTTTTCAATTTATTATAACTGACAAGATATACCTATAGTAAATATCATTTTAGGCCATTCATCGTTTTAAGAATTAAATGATATGTATCTTACATTATCCTACTGAGTGAAAATAACTTAGGCAGTTGTTTTAAAATAAAATTCTATTGAAATATTGAACCATGGCTGTTTTATTCCATTGCAAACACTAAATACAAAGTAAGGTTAATTCTACATCTGTTGGCACTGCGCACGGGCCATATAGGCAACCTTTTGGGCACGCTGCACAACTTCTGGGCAGCGCTTGCGACGCACCAACCGACAGTCCTGAAAGAAGCCTTCGTTGCGAGGGAAGCCGTTACTACCGTCACTGAAGGTCACTAGTCCTGAAAAGAGAAACATTATAAGGTGTTAGCAACAGTCACTGATCTTTTATTTCTTTTTCTGATAGCCGATATACCGTAGTGTACATACCAGAGTTTTTATATTGTGTTCAACAAATTTTTGATTATATGAACGATTATTATGATAATGTATCTTATGATCGTGGACAACATCGACAGATCAAGTACACTAAAAGTAAATGAAACATTATTAGATGTTTACCTACTACATTTATTGTTTTTGTTTTTGCATCACCCTAAGGTCTGGCTGGAGGAGAATGCCCTAGGCATTAAGCCCACCTTGTAGGTATATACATTAGTGTGTGCATGAAGTCTTTTAAAATAAAATAAAATAAAATTTATATTGTTAGACTCTACACAACAGGACTTCTTATATCATCGTGTATAATACCTTGGTATTATTTCTTTGCTTGTGTCCTGTATATGGCAATAGGCTCACCCCCTATTACATGGGACTCTTCATAAAATAGTGAAAAGTGTGTTATGTTTTTTCGTTGCTCAGTGTTACAATTCAAGACCTTATACCACAAGCCTAAAATAGCAAACCATTAATAAAAAAAAACTAAATCTCAAACGATAAAACTTTTATTTTGACTTTTAATAATTCGCTTCGCAAAACGAATAATTTTCTCTTTAAAACACAACAGCTTTGAAAATATAATAACATGCATTAAAACTAAACTTCATTTCAAAGTTTGGTGAAGCCACAATGTACTGCGGTATTCAGAGATACTCCTTTGATTCGCTTATAATATAATTTAGTTAGAGAATTTAATATAACATGACTTATTTATGTATATATCCAATTATCCATATTGTCTGATATTATTTATCACTTACATACTGACTAAAGTGTGGAAACGCTATGCTTCGGCCCGAATGGGCCAGCTGGACCGAAGTGATACCACGGCCTCACAGAAAACCGACGTGAAGCAACGCTTGTGTTGTGTTTCTTCGTATGAGTTGGTTACCGGAGGTCCAATTATCCCCCTCCCCTTCCCAAATCTCTCCAATCTCCGAATACCCAATGATTCTGAAACTCCTAATCCCCAAACACCCGATACATAACACACTTGTAACGCCTCTGGTGTTCCGGGTGTCCATGGGCAACGCCGATTGCTTACAATCAGGTGATCCGTCTGCTCGTTTACCGGATTATGCCATAAAAAAATGTTAAGTAAGTAACTAAGAAGAAACATCTCGGTAGGTAGGTACTGTGGTTCAGCCAATTTCAGAAAACCACCAAAATCTTTCTTTGATAAAAAGAAATGTTACCTTAAAACAGATTATTTCGGATTATTTTTGATCATTTTGTTACCAAGCCCGTATTTGGGAACAAATAATGATATAAGAACTTATCATCTAGCTTGGTACACACAACTACACATCAATCTATACAAAACCAGTTTATCCTGGTGTCGCGTCGCATCATCTTTCCGCACATCTAACGTTCAGTTTATACTGGTTATGTAAAGCTCGATGTGTAGCCGTGTTTACTAGGGACCAGCACATCAATCTAATCCAATGTATCAGTTTTTGCCACTGAATTTACGACTTTATTTCTAAAGGATAGAGTAAAAAATCTAAAAAAGAAATTTTACAGAAAAGAGTAAATTGATCTGCCCACTGTACGAATAACTATATTTATTCACAATTTTATTTATTGTAAATCATTATAGATTATAATTACAATATACCTTAATCATTTGTTCGATTTATACACTGAACCTGAGACTTGTTATTGAAATTTGAACCTTTATAACTGTCCTGTAATGTTTATTTATTTATTTATTTACACATATACAACATAAATGACACTACATATGCAAAATTAAAGTACTAAGGTACTACCTATTCATATTAGAATGTCTTCCTGTGGACCTGGGGCAGGAAAAGTAATAATGATATAATGATACAGTGTGTTATAACATAAGAAATAGAAAACAGACTTAAAACTAAACAGATAAAAATCCCTTCATTTCTATTTTGAGATTATTTGAGTTTCGATTATTCAACCCTATATTGTACCTACATTATTTTACCTGCTGACAATTGTAAATGTACGATTGGTTGCTGTGATATTATTCGCAGGGTAAAATTTTATTCTACTTGCTTCAGAAATGTTATTGGTAGTATTAAAGTAAAAATATACATCACAATGTAAGTAAATGGCACTATTCATTAGTACATGTATGTACTGTACAAACGTATTGGGTAGATCTTGATCAAGTTTGAAAATGTAAGAACTCAATAAGGTTTAAATTAAATGTCACATATAACCCTACACACCGAAATATGTTCAGAGTATAAAAAGCATTTTCAAAGGATTTTAGCACTTAAATTCAGTATTTTCTTTTCATATTAGAAAATATTCCAGTGTCCTTGAAATCCTTTCTCGTCTGTTACATTGAGGCAGCTGATATATTAATCTGATAGATGAAAGATATAAATCTCCGTACTTAGATTTCAGTTAATACATTCAGTCACGATTAGTGGCAATGTAATTGTAGATTTATGGTTTGCGGTTCAAGGTTCAAAATCAAATAACTAAGAATAGATTCTCTAACAGTCAAAGTGCATGACAGTACTAATTTGCTAAAGTAAAGGAGAATTATTCCTTTGTCTTTAGATTTTAGAAACTAGACTGAAGACATTGGGCCTAATAGGATTGATTAAGATGTAAATATTCTGGTTCTGGTGTAAGTCAAATTAGAAATGATAACTCCAATCTTTTAAATTGTCTGTTAAGAATTCGTATTTCTTCTATAAATAAAATTAAAATCTTGTGTCTTATAATTCAAAGGCTTTAAGGATAATCGTAGCTGAAGCAATGAGAGTTCCAATAGGGTAAATGCCTAATTTTTATTTAATTGTCCGTCTGGTAAATGATTTTATATCATTAGATACGTATTTTTTATTTTCTTACAGAAACGAATACTTTCGACGATATATTGATTTGAAATGTCGTGTGACGTCACTTCTATGTGCATTTTATACGTAGAAAGGACGTTTTAGCCCCCACAGCCCACACCTAAACTTTGATTCGTTTTATCAAAGGATTGTTTTATTATACGACAAAATAAAATAATATGTGTCTAATTTTTTCATTACCTAACTTCATACCATTCTTCATACTGACATCATCCCTATTACAAAGACAGTCCCTATTAAAATTCTGCTATTGTTCATCTATTGGTTTAAATTCTGTCAATTGTGAATGGCTTTCCTAGAGGTCAAGAGTTCAAAAACCCGATGAAAATACTGGCAAAGAGTAAATTCAATATAATATACCTTCGTTTGGATTGAAATATAAAGTTGGTAAATATTGCGGTTCATAGATTTGCGGTCATATATTTGAGTAGGTATTGGCTGTATTTTCCTAACCCGAGGCCATTTCTATCTGTTATATTTTGTATCGGTTTGCACTTTGAACTGTGAATACGAGTTCAAACTTTAGTACACATTGAATGTTTGGACTTTAGTAGTGGTGTCTTGGTGTTTTTGCATTCATTATCATAAACAGCCTAGTGGCTACTCCTGACCAAGGGCCTCTACTCACACGAAGAAGGTTTGAGCATTAATTACTACGCTTGCTCAATGCAAATTGGAGATTCCAACTTATAATAAGAAATCATAAGTCCAGGTTTCCTCAGGATCTTTTCCTTCCAAATGAAAAACGCAATATAGCGGACTACAATATCTTAGTTTGATTCAAGGGTCAAATTGTGTAGGTATTATTAGATTTCCTTGTATATCATTTCAGTCGTCAGAAATAACAGGATCGATAACGTCCAGTCTTTGGTAATAGGTACGTTTGATTTCTATCCTAATTGAGCTTCACTGTCACCAAAGCAGTTGATATTTTCCCAATATCTAGTAAAAGTATCATTTCCAATAACTTATTTTATACAATTTATTACCTTTGTCCTTGAAAAATGAGAGATATTACTGTCAACATAACCCTAAAGTTTTATTTTCTTCCTACCATTGTTATGTCAGCACTATTGTAATATGCTAGTTCTAGAATACTCAAACAAAGATTTACGACGCACACATATTTCTTGCGGAAGAAGGAACATTTTAATATTATATAGATATTTGAATAGAAGATATTTTATTACCTAAGTCTGGTCAGAAATATTACGTATTCTATTTGTTTGAATGTATGAATAAAAGTATTATTTGAAAAGAAGATATTCATGTGTAAAGAACAGCTAATATTTAACTTGTAAAAAGACCCGAAAATTCTGAAACTTTCTAAAGAATGTGGAATTGTGGATCCCGGTTTTCGTACAAAATTTGGTTGGAAGCTCAAAAGTCCTTAAATAGAGTCTAATCTAGAATTTAGAATTACCCTTAATGGATGGTGGAGGGCAGATGCCTATCGTTCTGTGTAAAAAACTGGCATTCAACTTAATCCAGTTAAGACACGATCCCAACCGCAACTTGGTTGGAAAAAAATGAAGAAAAACCGAGCAAAAGAAATCCTAAGGGATTTATTTATAAAATTAAAACTAAGATTTTTAATTTAATATTTTTTTACTACATGAAATGTTAGTATGGATGAAGCTAGCTGAATATTACAATAACAGCTAAGAACAAAAACATAAATTGGTTGCAAGTGAATCATAAAATGTAAGTTACTGATGAACATAAAGTAGGTACTCGACGACTGACATTTTTATGATAACGTTTCATATGAACTCAGATATATTTGACTAAAAGTATGAAGATATCTTACCCAAACCCCAAACCCTTCCTCCACGAAACTCCCCTTCGAACTTCATGCCATCAGCTCGCCAGAATACGCCGTGACCATGGAACCAGCCCTGCATGAATTCACCTTCATATCTGTAAGGTATGCAAGATTTTATTTTAACAATTGGTTTGTTTAAACTGTCAAACACCAAGTGGTCACCGGTGACCGCAACCTATTGTTCTATAATTGTGTCTACAAAACCGGTACTCGACGAGTTAAATCACCGTAATATTATGGTAATTATGATAATAAACACAACACAGTAGCTTCAGCTGTTGACTCTAACTACTCGAGGAATACGTATTTGTAGAAGTCTGTAGTTCACTATGCAATCGCAGTTCGAAGCAGTCACTCCTGACTGCTTTAAACGGTCCGTATATGGCGGCCATTTGATAATTTTCCCCCTTAAAAAAAAGCGTTGAGGTTATGGCGGAGTAGTTGTGTAGAGTATTGATTCTATTTTGTATATCTGTAATAGTCACAAAATACAAAAATATAGGAACTATAATTGTATGCTCGATCAAATTTACGATCCCGAGATTTCGCTTTCAATAAAAAAAAAGCGTGAATAATATCTAAATGCCTTTGCGAGAATTGTTTTAATTGAAATTCAGACAGAGGGAAACTATTTCGGGATGAGAAATTTTACATTTGTGTCGAAAGAAGATTTAATTATAATCAGTCAACAAGCTTTTGTACTAAAATAATAAGATATCAAAGACATCTCGATATCTCTCTTTGTTGTCAATGTTTTTTAAATACCAAACATTCTTTTTAAAACAACTATTACCTACCTACAAGAAAATCAAGAGAAAAGTAGTAATTCGTGTTCTTTATTTTGTCATTCAATTTTGAAAGACTTACTTTCCTTTAATAGGTACTTCTAAAGAAAATGTCCATATTTTCGACTACTTATTTTCATACATTTTCACAGAAATAACTTTTTTAAAGTACATCACGATATTATTATGTTTTAAAGAAGACACTGTCTTATAATTAATCTTAGATTCAAGATTCTAAAATTAGAACACATAGTTTTCATTCAAATTATTTTCATTTCAGTTTATATTCCAAAAATAAACTTTGTTTTGCGACTCTAGAGTCACGTTCTCCGAATGTATACATTTTATAAATCTAGTGTCCTTTTACGAGATTAAATTAATTTTCCTCATTTGGTAAGCCTTAAATAGCTTGACATTTACAGTTTCAGTTTGTCTTTTCAAAACGTTGTTTCAACACGATTTGTTCTGTAACAATATTCGGTATTTTGATCTTTAAATTGATGTAAACATCAAGAAGTACGGGAGATGTCGTTGATTTCTTTTATAGCATAAGCCGGTAAACGAGCGGACGGATCACCTGATGGTAAGCAATTGGCGCCGCCCATGGATACCCGAAACACCAAGGCGTGCGCGCATGTGCATTACCTGCCTTTTGGGGATTGGGAATTTGAGGATTGTGGAGGATTCGGGGATTCGGGAGATTAGGGAGGGGGGGTAATTGGGCCTCCGTTAACCTCACTCACATGATGAAACACAACGCAAGCGTTATTTCACGTCGGTTTTTTGTGAGGCATCATTCCGGTCGAGCCAGCCCATTCGTGTCGAAGCATGGCTCTCCCACACTTTAAATTTTGCAATAATTAAATGATTTTCCTTCCTCAAAAAAATGTTGTTTCCTTCTACCCTCTAGTCATTTATCTCCAAACAAAGTTGTAAAGATGACAGACATTTAAAACATGTTTTTATTTGTAACACATTTATTTATATATATTTTATAGCAAAATCTACTGATGGATAAGCTGTTGAAACTGACTATTAAAATAGGAATAAGTCTTACCAGTGGGTCCTACTAAATTGACCCTTATTAACACTGCTGTCAGCAGCATAGGTACTGCTATCAGCAGTGTATTTAGACATTTCAACCTTAGCTAAATAAAAGTATAATCATCATCAACAGCCTATAAGTGGCCACTGCTAACCAAAGACCTCTTCTCGCACGTAGAGCTGTTTTGAGTATTAATCACCACATGCTCAACGCGGGGTTGGCGGTTTCAATCTTATAATAAGAAATTAAGTCCATCTTTCCTCACGATGTTTTCCTTCACCGTTTATCTGTGGTATTTAAATAATCTTAGAAAGTACATATTATAACTCGGAAAAAGTAACATTGGTCTTTACCGTAGACAGGTTTCGACCCTGCACTCTCATGCATGAAAAACGGGCGTCCTAAACCTCTGAGTCACTACAACATTTAATAAAAGATTCCACCTTTTATATTCATTCAGTCTACCTTGTTGCGGGATAATAGTAAATGTATACTTTTGGAATATAAAAATGAATAAATCATTCTTGAAAAATCACTCGAAACTTCAAAGCAAAGTGCTTTAAATATGAGAATGACATCACGTTTTGACAAAAGCTTCTGACCTTTTGGTTTTACCAGAAAAAAGGTAACTAAAAGGCTTTTAAAGGCTCTTTTGACGCAATACTTAGTTTTAAATTTTGATAAATATTTTTGCAACACCTTTTTCGTCTACTCTATTCAAAACATTTTCAAGAAATTCATTAAACGCCGTTCATTACAGTATTTAAATTTTTTGAAATAAGGAAAATATTGACAAACATTTTTGCCATCACATCGTAAAGATGACAATTGTGCACGTTACAATAGAAAGCTAAAAACGTAAAGATGGTCCAAGAATTGGGCTCTGATTACGATTTCAAAAGATTTTACATAAAAGGTACCTTTTTATGTCTATTTCACCACAAAAAATGTTCTACAATTTCTTTCTAATACTTTTTGGGTTAGTTCTAGCCTTAGTCTAACTTTTAGAATCCATCTCCATTAAATTGACTTCAGGTCTACAAAAGTTGATTACTTCTTTATCGTTTCCAAAAACTTTGTAAGAAAAGTCCCCAATTTTCTTTTTTTTGTTCAGAATACCGAGATTTTGTTATGTTTTGTGAGTAATTGTTACTACAATCGATTTAACTTTCGGAAACGTATTAATTGGGTCACTAGGTAAGGGTCAAGGAGTAGAAAACCTTTCATTGATGTTTAACTTTATTTTTATAACTAAGTTTTTTTTTTATTTCAACCTTTTACCTCGTGGTATGGACTTCGGTGTTGATGTTCCAATTCCAGGTAAATTTGAGATTGGGAATCACGCTCGTTTTTTTTAATACATTTTCTTCCTATTATTATGATTGTCATCAAAGACATAATAGATGAATTCTATACATATACATCTCATGTCAATAGCCTTATTTTATGGGTTTATTTTCCTGTTAACGATAATACTTATCTGAGAGGCTATTGTTAGAAGAGATAAAAATAAAACGTTTTCCTTTTCACAAAATGATTGAGGAAAATCATGAAATTACTAAAAAATGAATTTTAATACTGAATAGAATTGACAATTGATCACTTTTAAACAATAACATTGTTTTTAAATATAAAAAAAACTTTTCGATACATCGTTTGGCCGTTCGTCTTATTTATCAATGGTTTGATCAAATGCGTATACATTTGAATGTCATTCAATCCATAGGTACATTTCTTTGTTGAAGAGGCAGATAATAATATATGTTTGTAAAATTCGATATATCTTCGAACTTTTTCCTGTTGACTAGGTACGAATGAATTTGAAATAGCATCAATATATATGTATGTAGCAACATTACTTTTTTAAGTTTTGTTTTTTTTAGCCGGTAAATGATCAGACGGTCACCTGGTAAGTAAGGTAAGCAATCAGCGTCATCCATGGACACCCGGGACACCAGAGATGTTACAAGTGCGTCTCCGGCCTTTTCGGGATTAAGAAGTTGAGGATTGTTGGGGATTAAGGGATTGGAGAAATTTAGGGCGGGGGATAATTGGGCTTCTAGTAACTTCACGACGATACATAATGCAAGCGTTGTTTCACGTCGGATTTCTATGAGGCCGTGGTATCACTCCGGTCGAGCCGGCCCATTCGTGCCGAATCATATCTTTCCCACGATATTGTACAGAACGAATTCATAAAGACTATCTTTCTTCAAAGAAATTTCGTGTAATCGCAAAAGTAACTACAAATAAGACTTATGGATTTACTGCTCAAAATTTTTATGACAAAATATTTTTCCATTTTCAATTTTCCGCTATATATTCAATCCCTTTCCATCACAGCTGAAGATATGAAGAACGATCGTAATTTGGTGTACCATACTACCATTTCGAAAACCTTTTACGGAATGACAGGTACAGTGATGTTTAATGCACGAAACTCAAAGTAGTTTACGATCTGCACCTCAATATAGTACTCAAATACCTAAAGTTGAGACATGAGCTACTTAAATAGAGTAGCGATCTGACGAGAATGTCACTTATTCTCGTCAAAATTCATCATGAATATATTGTAACGATTCGCGCAAAAATCATAAAAGACATGCATAAGAACGTAATTTGTATAAGACGAACGTATCGTATATTTTTCATTTTGCATTAAGATGCCTTATGTAAGCATAAGGATTTTCTTGTAATTGTATGCACTTTTTTATGTTTTATTATTAACTCGTCGAGTACCGTCATTATAGACACAATTATAGAACAATAGGTTGCGCTCACCGGTGACCGCTTGGTGTTTGACAGTTTAATAGAATATTTTATTCTACTACCTCTAAAATACCAGTCCATACTTATTTTTGACTTGTTAAACCATGTTAAACATATTAAGTTTCAGACAATACTGACTATATGCCAAGGTTCACAGTGAACAAGAATTGGAGGTATGTCTATTCGCCAAAATATTGTCACGTACATCATAATATTAAGAAAATCTGGGTAAAGAATTTCAGTATCAGACTAAATAAAATTCATGTCTTTTAGCGCGGAGCAAAATATTATAGCAAGCAACATAATGCATTTTAATACATTAATATTTTATTACGTGGTTACATGCATCAAGTCTCATTTTAAAAGTTTTTTAAATATATCACATGAGTGCATTACCGAAACTTGTAAGTAAGTTTCATTAATTATTCGAGTGGACGCATTAAAATAGTGAACCTAGGGTTAGCGTGAGATAAAATTTTAATAAACTTTTAGAAGC